CATTTTAGTATGGTTGGTTTACTTTAGGTCATATATTTTCTAGGAGTCGTTAGCCATGTTAGACTTATATGCCAGTAGAAAATATATGGAGCTTCTAGTTCCTTTGTTTTGTTTTGTATAATATTGGTTTGAGATGTGCTTAAATGACGATCCAATTTCAAGTCGTTGGGATTGAGCACAGTAGAACTTGTACTAGTGGTGTTGGTTTACTGTAATTTTTGGTCAGTTTACCTATTGTTAATCAACCTTTTATTATCAGAGATTTGAAGCCACAGAACCTATTAGTGGACAAAGAGAAGGGCATACTTAAGATTGCTGATTTGGGTCTTGGAAGGGCTTTCACTGTCCCAATAAAGAGCTACACCCATGAGGTTAACACAGTTTTCTCTTTCTTCATACTAGCATTGCCACCTAAATCATCAGAAAGATATAGAAAGAAAGCGAAATCTGGAAGTCAAAATTAAGTACTTGATTAGTGGAATTGCTCATTTTGGGTTTGTTTTTTTTGTTCAGATTGTTACTCTATGGTACAGAGCTCCTGAAGTCTTGTTGGGATCTACTCATTACTCAACTGCGGTTGATATGTGGTCTGTGGGATGTATTTTTGGTGAGTTTGTTTGAGTTGATCATGCTATTTACTCTTGTAGACTAATTCTCTGCTTAGATTTTTTTGCTTCATTTAAGTTAGAAATGTTTTCTAATTCTTTTGCAATATTCCTGTTATCTGATGCTTTGAATCATACTCCATTTTAGCCTTTTCTTCTCTTTGACTAGTTTCTTGTAGCACTGTTTGTTCGATGTGTTTTTGACATGATAATTTTAATATGCTATTTGTAGTTACCGATGGAAATTTTGGTTAGGCGTAAGTTTGTTCTTATATTAAGTAGAACATATTAGTTCCATGGGAAGGTAGTTTTAAATGCCTGGTTTGAACTTCACAAGAAGTTGGTTTTGGGCACTTTATGTTCTTTCAGTATCACATTTATATAAAATATGGAAGGGCTTTGGGTTGCTTTCAAGATATCTTAAGTTCTAAAAATACTTTTTGATCTCAAAGGCTGTTTTTAGAGAATTGGTATATTTGATAGAGCGGTTGAAAAACACGAGGATGGACATATTAAAGTAGGTGTGCACCTTAAGGCTCCTATGAGGCGTCCTTACGCCCTAAAGCTAGGTGAAGCATAGGTTGTGGAGCTTTTGCCTCGGCTTAGGCAACACTTAGTGCAGGTGTCGAGGCGGTAAGGCATGCGTCTCATTGGGTTCTTCTTGAAGAGGATGACATTAAACAATAAATATAACTGGGAAAGAGATGGATTAATTGTTCAAAAAGGGTTATGAATACATTTCTTACGTATTATGAAAAGGAATTTAGAAATATTATCATTTAACGTGAATTAGAAACTTTAAACTGCATCTTTGCATCTAAAATTCAAAATTTAAGTTGGTTTTAGACTTAATTTGCATATTCTTACTTCATATGTTTCATTTATTGTAGGATTTTTCAATTACTTTGTTCATATAATTATTGGCTGTGTTTATGTTCATTACTAGTTAGAGATTTAAGCTCATGCTTTAAATCCGGTTTGCACTTAAATCCCTAGCAGGCCTTAGAATCTTTTATACACTTTTTGCCTTTGACAACATTTGATACAGCATCTCTAGAAGCACTTCTAAAGAACTCTGATTATTTTTACAACTTATCCAGTGAAGACTTTTACCATCTATATTTTCTTTGTAACATCAAAATAATTTTGCAGAATAAATAAATTCTTGTAAAGCACTTCTTTGTAAATTCTAAAACTAACAATTTATTCTAATTGGACCAAGCGGTTCAGGCCAGACATAAAACATTAATTCTAGATAATCTCTTTTCCTGTGGGGTATGGGTTTAAGCATTGGCGAAGAAATGGATATAAGAACGAAAATCCTTTTAGTCGCTGAAGGGGTTGGCCTAGTGGTCGAAGGCAAGCTTTATTTATGGTGAAATTCACTCACTCTACCATACATAGGTCTTAATTTGCTTTCTCTACATGATGTAGCCGAGATGGTTCGAAGGCAGGCCTTATTTCCTGGTGACTCTGAGTTTCAGCAATTGCTTCACATATTCAGGTATGCCTATGATCTATCACCAAGTCTTTGCATTTTCCTGTTTTCTTGTCATTTTGTGTGGTCCGGTAGGGAGAGGGGNTTGCTCTTTAGTTTAAGTAGCAAACACCTCAGACAAAGCTACTGCTGAGGTATCAAGTATTCAGGATGTTATATCTTGATACCAATTGCCACCTTGATAGTTTGGCTTTCAAATATCCTGCAGGGTCAAGGATAGAATTGTTACATATTCTTTAAGATAGATGGGTTTTACCTGATGATATGAAAATTGGGCACATGTAATACAAGAAAGATTTTTCATTCCTAAAAGCAGCTTTTGTAAAGGGGTATGACAAATAGAAGCAATATGTTAAAATGGTGGACTTCTAGAGGTTTTAAATCTGAAATTTTGAAGGGCAGCATCAAGTTTCTAGTACTAATGTTAATAAAACCAAAAGTAAAATGAACTGAATAAAGCATTGCAGCCAACTGTTCTCTTTTGATAAATTTGAATATGGCTAATGAATTGATTATCTTAACATATGTTTATGTAAACTGGTGAAGGTTGTTAGGAACCCCAACTGAGAAGCAGTGGCCTGGAGTGAGTTCACTCCGCGACTGGCATGTTTATCCAAAATGGGAACCTCAGAACTTGGCCTCTGCTGTTCCAGCATTGGGTCCTGATGGTGTGGATCTCCTCACGGTAAATCTCCATCTCATCTTATGGATAAATTTTCCTGCTATATCAGCTCATGTTTTCAGTAGGGGTGTGCATTCGATTTATCGATTCAATTTTGACCCTTTATCGATAATTACTTATCGATTATCGATTTGTACATATGCTTATTGTTATCGTTTCAATAAGGTTTTGATTTTTTCGATTTCGATTTATCGTTTTTTTGGGGCTTATCGATTACACCAATAAGAAAATTTGCGGGATTCTACGGAAAGTATATTGCTATAAACACGCCTAACTAATATGGACAAAAATAAGCTAAAATAAAATGAACACCGTTTATAACATAAAAATTGTGTTAACAAGCACATGCAACGAAACTAAAGTAAGGGATCAAATGTATGCCACCAACACTCCAACAGTATAAAAAAAATAAAAATACATCATCACGGCTAATTCTATTTTCCATTAATTTGAACTTCATTCCCTTTAGCTTTAAATATGATCATTTCTTAAATGTGGTAGATGAAATAATAGGGTTAGAGACTTAGGGTAAAGGAAAGAGTATTATAGAATAAGGGTAAAAAAAATATTTTTTTTTTTACTATATCTTATCGGTTTATCGATAAACCGATAACCGAAGAGGACAAAATCGAAATCGAAATCGATAACTCGATAAGGAAAATTTCGAAATCGAAATCGATAAACCGATAGCAAATAATCGATTTGATTTATCGATAACCGATTCGAATACACATCCCTAGTTTTCAGTCTTAAGTTTTTGTTATTTCTTTTCTTGTTAGAATAGTAAATGTATAATGTTATTGTTTTTGCTTGGTCTGTTATTGTTTTTGCTTGGTCATGGTAGAAAATGCTCCAATATGATCCGGCAGATAGGATTTCAGCAAAAGCTGCACTTGATCATCCATACTTTGATAGCTTGGACAAGTCGCAATTCTGAGGTTGCTTCTAATGCTCCAATATGCTCCAACATCCATATTTTAGTTCTTAGGACGTTCTCAGTCCTGAAGAATATCATCTTCTTGGTGATTTGAAGTCTGCATTGTAATCTTGTCGACTTTCATATTTTACTGTTATGATCCAGCTTTTCTAAAGGCCTGTTTTATGGTCAAGTTTCATGTAGTTCAAATGCTATGAGGAAAAAAGTTTTCTTTTTTGCTGATCATAAGGTCCAAATCCAATGCTCTACTGAACATTGGAAAGTGTATAGGTTGTTAAATGTTTAGCTTTACTTATAAATAGGCATTGTTTTACTATCATTTCGGGTTATCGATTATTGCACAAACTTACTATATGGTATAAGAAATGAGAAATCACAGGAACCTCCCTTCTTAGCATTAGTGGCATAAATAAGCATAAAATGTTAGGACATCTTTCATTCTTAGCTATGCAAATTCATATTTGTAGTAGGGTTCAAACGTATAATTTGTCCAGCCTCAAAATGTAGTGTTTTTATGTTTTGACACTTCGGGATGTATTCCCAGTGTTCTAGTCCTAAACAGAAAATTTGAGGTATCAAATTTCTTGCATGTTCTTTACTTACATTAAAGTATTTCACATTTGGACACAAATGTTTTAACCAAAAAAATAAAAAATAAAAATGAATGAATGGGAAAGATATCAATTCCAATTACCTAATCGCCTAGGGCATAGAGTTACAACTAACCAAAATTAGCACCTCATATCTAGTTGCTACCACACCATAGCTAGCACTGTAGGTTTTCCCTTATTAACTAATATGTTCTTCTATCATTTTGTTTATATAGAATTGATCCAGGATTTAGATTCTATGCGTTCAACTTTTAAGGTTTTAACATTGAACCCACTGTATTTTTAAAGTTATAGGTTCAGACATGCCATTTGTTGCATTTTTAATGAATTTTTACACATAAATTTATACTCCGCATCGAAAGTAGTGAGTTTAGATGAACCCGACTGCCAACTCTTCCTCCGCCCCTGGAATTGATAATTGAGTGTTGTTTAATATCATCACAAGAAAAAAGGACTTAATTTACATCAACAGGTCGCAAAATGTTATATACCTTGTTTTTAGGTTGTTCTCCACATTCACATAGACAATTAATGTAGCCAGTAGCCATTAAATTCTGCGCGTTGAAATTAGGCCTAAATAAATTAATTACGTAGGCTTTGGGCTACTATTATTCTAAAGCCTTAAACTTATAAATAAATAGTAATACTGCTCGATTATCTTACCATACACATTCAAAATGAGAGAAGAAATTAGCAGTAGTAGTAGAATTTTACAAATGGAAATGGAATCAACTCCAGAGAGTAGATATAGCGTTGCAGATTGTAAATACGCACGTAAACACAAGAAAAGAAGGAAAATATGTATGCTCGTTCTCTCTGTCCATATTATTCTGGTTATAACTATTATCATCTTGTGTCTCACTGTTTTTAGACCCAAGCGTCCTGTCATCACGCTCGAGTCCTTGACTCTCAAGGACCTGGCCGTGTCCGTAGACGCGGCCAGGTTCAAGGTATTCCTTAACATTACCATGAGCGGCGACCTCTCCATTTACAATCCTAACAGGTAAGATGAATTTAAAATTTAAACTTAGTGAATTTAAGATTATGATTTTTTTTTTTTAAAATATGGGTTAAAAACTTAATATTTATGTTATTTCTTTTGTCGTATTTTATTTCATATACTTTCATTTGGGAAATTATCAGCTGTGTCAGCCGATAAGTAAGTTAGTACAAAAATTAGCTAAGTAATAAAATATTACCAATATTAGTCAATTAGCTTTAGTAGCTAAAAAGATGTTAAATTTTTTCTTTATTTTGAGTGAATGTTGTTGGAATAGATTGGATACGTCTTAACAAGTTTAAATCTCAATTTTGGGATGATTTGGTAGAAGATGAACATGGAAAAAGATGATATGTATTTTACAATATGTTGTCATTTTTGTATCATATTTGTATCAATTGTATATTACATGTATAGCGCTGTGTGAGATACATGCGTGATACATATTTGATATATGTGTCACAGAAGAATTTTTGAACTCGATTTTAAATACGAATTTTGATACCAATAAGTACAGATCACCTCCAATCTTTCTCAAATTTTGATATTGACTCATCTATATATTTTCAATGAATTCCAACCATACCTATTGAAAAAATGTCCCTTTTTGCTTAGACTTTTGGAATCTTGTATTTTTTTTTTGTATTTCATCACCTTGTTTACTACCTCATTCATAATTTTTTTCTTCCGTCTTGCATCTAATATTGCTGATCACGCTTAAAAGTATGGAAGAAGATCGTTGCTTGTGATTCTTGGAGAGAAAGAGTCTTTCCTTATTTGTGTTTTCAATTTTTATATGTGTTTCGCTAATTTTGGTAAGTTTATGATTAAGGGCTATATGTTGGTAAGTGCATATGCTATTTATAAGACTTATTTGGGACATTTCGGTAAGATTTCCCAATCTTTTTGGCCTATAAGAAAAAGAATGATACATTTCTCTTTTTGGAATTATCTAAATCATAGTATCCTTATTTTACGACATGACCTTGTCGAGGCTCATTTGATGTAAAATGTCATTCTTATAATTTTATAAGGAGAGACCAAATTTGCTCAAAAAAAAAGGAGAGACCAAAAAATGAAAAGACAAATAGAATTCCCGCAACCACTCATTTAAAAGAATAATTCTGGTAATTAACATATATTTGACTTATATGTCAAAATTCTTCTTTAATTTCGGTAATTCTGTGGCCAATCAAGCATCTTCGTATAAAATGAAAAAGTACTAGTAAGAATTTTCATTTTTCACATACACACATATATGATCTATTCCAAAAATGATGAGTCCAATCGAATCCACTTCTAACACTCTAGATCCGTCTCTGCCAACAGAGTTAGTGTCCAATACGAAGACATCAACCCTTACATCGAGTATAGAGGTGAAGAAATCGGAGATGTTCACGTCCCCGCGTGGAAGATTGGGTCCCGGACCACTACAAATATGAACTTTGTGCTGATAATAATGGCGGATCGGCTATCTTCGGATCCTAATTTGTATTCGGACGTGGTTGAAAAGGGCATGTTGCCGTTAACTATTTACGTGAAACTGAAGGGCAAAATAAAACTAATTGTATTGTTCAAAGTAAAGGTGAAAGTTTCCACCAAATGCGATATATCTTTGGATATCCAGACGGCAAGTCTCGCCAGCCAATCCTGTCAGTCTAAGACTAAGTTATAGCTTGGATGTGAATCGATATAAATTAATTAGTGACAATTATGTAGCAGACAGAAATATACTAGCAGTATAATACTCTTTTGCGTTTCGTGACACACTTTGTTTATTAGTCTATGTTAAACAAATGATATATTTCTATTCCATTTTAATCATTTTACCATCAATGATAAGTTTTTATAATCATATTGAATGATTATGATATGTTTAAGATCATAAGTAGAGATGGCAAATGGTGCAGGGTGGTGCGGGTTCTACTTTAACTCACGAAATTTNCAATTATGTTTATATTTGTCATGGCTAATGTAAAAGTTTTTATCAGAATCCAGTGTCAAACCAAGTCATATTTTGAATATGCATAACTAGGGAATAACTATAAACTCTACCGAATGCTATTAGTATGTCATTCTAATATATAATTCAGATTGTACAATGTAATGAGATCATATACCTGAACTTAGCATAAAACAAATTAACTATATAGTTAAAAGTGAGACGTTGGAGCAGTAAATAAAATATAAAACAAGAAGCTCTTCTTCCTAGTGATGCAATTAGCAGAAGCATTCATATTTACAATAAACTGAATAGACGTCTACTATGAATCAATTTTAAAAATTAAATCAATTTGGGACTACAATGATCCAGTTCGTAGGAGAAGAAAATTATAAGTTCAAAACTGGAAAACAAATATCTCTTGATTGAATATTAGTGGTTGATAGCTGAAAAGTTGTATTTATTCGAAACTTTTAAATCTTAACCCGCACCCATTGTTTGATCAAAAAAGTTTAAAACCCTTTTGTCAAACTAATTATTGATAATAAAGAGGATAAACCTTAGCCAAACATAATTAACTTGAGATCCAAGCATATTAAGTACGAAATAACCAAGAGTAGAAATGTATAAGATCTATTAATATGATAATCGTACACCAAACATGAGAGATGAGCTTATACATAGAGCAGAGATGGATCATAAATGACGGAACCAAGAAAGGGAAGGGAAGTAAGTGTTGATAAACGAGAGATTCCTCTTGTTCCCCAGGCTGTGGTTGCTCTCCTTTTTTTTAGAGTCCCCCCCCCCTCTCTAAGCCCTCTCTGCCCATATATATAATTCTTTTCCCCTTTTATCCAACGGTCTTTGACCGGCGTGCTTTCTTACGACCGTATCTTTCTTCTAGGGGACGACCACTATGGTCAGATTTTGATCCATACAGTTAGTCCCTCCGTTCGTCGAGGTTGCCTCTTAGCGGGCTCAACGGGCGGATTCTATCGATTCGAAAGTTAGGAGAAATCTGAATGTTTAAGCCTTGAGCGAGGCCTTTAGGTCGAGGTAATGGCGCGACGCTTTAATGATACCATTGAACCGTTACGTCTATTCGGAGTTGAACCGTTGTGGCGATTCGATGCATCATGAATACCCACTGTCATTAAGGCGCACGTTTCCCAAGAATCGTATCGCTTCTTGTGCCCTATCAGTTTTGATTGGCGGCTCTTGGGTTTCCCGCTCGGGACATTCATGTTCCTATAAATAGGGAGAAAACACCATTCTATTGCCACACTTTTCGACTTATCAAAGGAGTTTTGCAAGCCTTTACCTTCTTTAATACTTCAAATTTGTGAGTTCGTTCTCCTGTCAGTCAGAAATTGATGCCACCATCTTCTTTATCTCCCTTTTTCTTACTCATTTACTCCGATTATTCGAGACAAATGGCTGATACTTCTTCCCACACTGACAGACCCGTCGAAGCTCCGGTGCTGGAAAATGACGCACCTGTTCTCGGAGAAGGAGCAGAGGCGGCGGAAGATGAGGGGTTTCCAACAGCAGCTGAAATATTTCCCCGTCCGGGGAACTTATGGAATGATTTTAATGGCCCCGCCGAGGAAGAGCCAGAACCTGTATCATCTACCATAGATGAAGCGGCGATTGCGGCGCTCAAGACCAAGTGGGGAATTCCAAATCATATTGAAATGAAACCTGCGATGGGAACGGACATTGTGTATCTGCAACGCCAGGGTACTGCGCATTCTATGCGTACCCTTTTATTGTTGGGTATACGCTTCCGCTCCCCTCCCTAGTGGTAGACTTCTGCCGCTACTACGAGGTGTGTCCTTCTCAGCTTTTGCCGTACGTGTACAAACTCTTTCTCATTCTTCTCAAGTACGCAGAGCTCGCCGATCAAGACGTCACTTTGGGGCATATGATTATTATTTTTGTTCCCCAACTTATTCGAGGCTCGATGATCCACATGCGTCATCGAGGAACAAAGAGTTTGGTGGTGAAGATGGACGACAAGGCTGATTGTCGTTTTTGGGAGAGTTATTTCTTTGTACGGACCGAGCACCTTGTGGCGGACCTAGCAGGGATTCCTGAGACGTGGAACTTCGCCTGTAAGTTTTCTTTTGTCTGATTTACGACTTTTCTCGAGGCGGTGGCCGACCGTTCCTCTTTAGGTAGCATTGCTAATTTGTTTTCTACGTTCGTAGCTGAGAGATTGCCTCCCCCGCCCGTTGATGACATCCCCGAATGGGTTAATGCTATTCTTCCCCATACAGCGGGGGTCCTGAGTGGGCGTCCTTCTATGAGAGATATGGGCGTAAGCCTCTCATCGCTAAGTGGGCCAGTTGCAATTTGTTTGTTCTTTGTCTTGTAATTTGATCTCGTTGCTTATATGATCGTTTTCTCCTTTATTAGAGAGAGTGCGAAGGACGAGGGCTCCTCCACTAGCGATTCGTCAACTGGCGCCTTCTGCCCAGCCTAAGGCTGTATTGTGGTCCGGGCCCAACCCAGGCCCGCGAAACCACGGGCCAAATGGGCCGGTTCAAATGGTCCGGTCCCAAACGGTCCTTGGAGCTCACCGTAGGCTAGTCCTCCAGATTGAGACCGCGAGACAGGGATCGGCTGGCGGGCCTGGGCCGGTTCAACCGGGCCAAACAGGCCCAACGACAATTTTTTTTTTAAAAAATGGCCAACGGTTAGAAGTTTAAAAAATAGTCGTTGCCCTGCCATTTTAGCCGTTTGGCTTTTTAAAAAATAGTCATTTGGCCCCCAAACTTTGTTTTAACTCCAAACTTTTTATAATTACACTTTTTTCCTATTCTCAACTATAAATACCCCCTCATTATTTCATTTATACTCACAAAATCATCAATCTCTCTCTAATTTTCTTACATAATTTCTTTCTTTATTATTGCAATTTGTGAAAAATTGTGAAGTTGGTGAATTGAAGTATTCAAGTCTTCAACGATATACAATTTTCAAGAAGTTATTCGTCAATTCGGTAAACTCGTTCCAACTCTTTAGTTTTAATATTATAGTTTTGTTTGTTTTAGTTTGTATAATTATAATTAATATGGACTTTTCTTTGAAAAAATATTTGGTGGTAAGGGTAAGGGAAAAACTAAAATTGGTTAATCTAGTCGCCAAGCTACTACTACTCCCCCAGCTCCCCCCGACCCAGACCTGTTACCCATCCTCCTCCACCTGTTATTCTTGATAGTGATAACCCTTGTTTTTAATTTTTCGATAGTCAATTTTACCACGATGTTGCACCAGGTCAACGATTAAATGATGAAGTTATGGATGCTCTTTATCCTAATCAAACTATTGATGAAAATGATGAGGAAAATGATGATATAGATGAAATGCAACCGGATTTAGATGATACACCTACTACTCCTGTTAATAACCCAACTGATAATAATCCAAATGATGCCTTGACTGACCCTCCTATAGTACCCCCTACTTTTAATAGACAACCTTTTAGACTGCCTGAAACATCTCTTGTTTGACACTTTTTTACTCAACTAAGAGCTCAAAATAAGGATAGTGTAAAACTTGTGGGGCTTTGATGGCGCAAAAATATACTGGAGACCGTTGCGGTATGGGTACTTTGACTAGACACATAAAGAAACACTCTAGAAATAAAGCTAGATATCTTCAAATGAAAGTTGCACAAGAGGGGACAAGTGTAGATACTGAGGTTAACCCTAGTACCGGGTCAAATCTAGTTCAATCGAAAATTAACACTATTACCGATGGCATTTGTATTACGATCCAAATAATGATCGTGAAGAATTGGCAAAATGGTTACTATTATGTGCTTACCCTATAGTTTTCCTTCTAACCCTCACTTTGTGCATTATATTAGAAGAGTTTTTAATCCTACTTATAAATGATGGCCTCACGCAACCGTAAAGAGCGATATTTATAAATATAAACATGCATATGAACAATATTTGCACTATTTATTTACTTATATAGATTGTCGCATTGCTATTACTACTGATATTGGTAGAAGTGGTAATGACTGTGATTATATTACTGTAACACTCATTGGATTGATGAGGAATGGAAAATGCAAAAGCGCATTATTACTTATAGAATAATTAATTCACGTCACACAGGTAAGTTTATTGCTAACACAGTTGCAAATATTTGTAGATATTTTTGCATTAGAGATAAAATAATGTTAGTTTTAATGGATAATGCTTCTAGTAACACTAATGCTATAGGCTTGCTTACAACTACACTAAAACCTGTATTTAGTAATATTTTCCATGTTAGATGTATTTATCATATTTACCATTTAATCGTCAGTGATGGTATGAAAATTTTAAATGTGGAAATTGAAAAGGTTAAAATGGCTCTTAATTGGCTTTTTATTCAAACCGTAGAAGTAGACTTAGAGAAAATTTTAAAAAATGTGATGAATTTGGCTTTAGAGAAAGAAAGGTTCCTAAACCTTGTCCGACTAGATGGAATTACATGTATAAAAGTTTAGTTATTGCATATGAATATAGAAACTCAATAAACGCAACGTTTAATGCTTGTGTTGGTGGTGATGATGATAATGATGATGATCACCTTACAAATCAAGATTGGACTAATGTTAAATTGTTTGTAGACTTTTTAGAACAATTTTATATTGCTACAAATGAATTATCTGGGCAATATTATCCTACTATTTCTAACAATTTAGTTTATATTGCAGCACTTGCAGATTTGTTTACTCAATTTTCAGAGGGTGAGGTAATTTATCAACTTGCTATTAATTCTATGAAAGATAAGTTTAAAAAATATTTTTTTCCTATCCCCCCTATTTATGGTGTTGTTGCCATATTAAATCCTATCATGAAATTAGGAGGTCCTCACTATT